GGGAGTTGGTGATGGACAGAAAGGCCTGGCGTGCTACAGTCCACTGGGTTGCAAAGAGTCAGACATGACTGAGCAACTGAACTGAACTGATGAAAACCTCAAACTCTTAGTAGTGAAACACTGGATGTTTCACCGCTAAAACCGGGAAGAAGGCAATGATGCCTACTCTCAACAATTCTATTCAAAATTTTATTAAGGGTCCTGGTTACTGCAATAAAAAGAAATGAAAGGTACAAAAATTGATAAAGAAGTAAACTGTCCCTGTTTGCAAACAACATGACTATGAATGTAGAAAATGAGAAAGAATTAACAAAAAGATTATGAATCTTTACATTTAACCATATCAAAACACAAAATTAATATACAAAATTATTCTATGTCTATGAAGTACCAATATGCTTCCCAGGTGGCTCAGTAGTAAAGAATCCACCTGCCAAGCAGGAAACACAGGTTTGACCCCTGGGTGGGGAAGATCCCCTGGAGAAGAAAATCGAAACTCAGTCCAGTATTCTTGCCAAGGAAAGCTCACGGACCGAGGAGCCCAGTGGGCTACAGTCCGTGGGGTCACAACGAGTCGGACAGGATTCAGTGACTAAACACCACGACAACAGATGTTCTAGCAAACAAATGAAAAACAGAATCAAAACATAATTCCCCTTAAAACTGCATCATATAAAATATTTAGCAATAAATTAACAAAAAATATGCAAGCCCTCACCAAAAACTATAAAATATTGCTGAGATAAAGATGACTTAAAAAGTGAAGAGATGTCAAGCTTCAAGAGTGCCAAAAAGTTACTTCTCAAAAAAATCTATAAACTCAACACAATCCCAATCATAGGCTGAGCGCAATCATAATCCTTTTTATATAAACTGACAAACTTATTCTAAAATTCGTAATAGAAACATAAGGTCCTAGAATAGACAAAACAATCTGAGAAAACGACAAAAGCTAGAAAATCTGCATTCACTAAATTTAGGACTTATTCTAACACTATTCAGTGGTTCTCAGTTGAAGGCAATTCTGCAACTCAGGGGACATCTGATGGCTCAACGGTAAAGAATCCGCTTGCGATGCAGGAGACACAGGTTCAATCCCTGGGTCAGGAAGATCCCCTGGAGAAGGAAATGGCAACCCATTTCAGTATTCTTGCCTGGGAAATCCCATGGACAGAGGAGCCTGGTGGGCTACAGTCCGAGGGGTCACAAGAGTCAGACACAACTTAGTGACTAAACTACCACCAGATACATTTTTGGTTTTCCTAGTAGATTTCAGTAGCACCCTCCCAGGGATACTAATAAAATTCTATAGTACACAATACAGTCCCACAACAACCTGGAAAAAATTTCAACAGTGCCAAAGTTAGGAATTCCTAAACTACAACAGCCAAGACAATGTGATTTGTTGTTGTTCAGTTGCTCAGTCGTGTCCGACTCTTTGCGAACCCAAAGAAGCAGTACTCAAGCCTTCCCTGTATGTCACCATTTCCTGGAGTTTGCTCAAACTCATGTCCATTGAGTTGGTGATGCCATCCAACCATTTCATCCTCTGGTGCCCCCTTCTCCTGCCTTCACTCTTTCCCAGCATCAGGGTCTTTTCCAATGTATCAGCTCTTTGAATCAGGTAGCCAAAGTATTGGAGCTTCAGCATCATTCCTTCCAGTGAACACTCAGGGTTGATTTCCTTTAGCATTGACTGATTTGATCTCCTTGCTGTCCAAGGGACTCTCAAGAGTCTTCTCCAACACCACAGTTCTAAGGCATCAATTCTTCAGCATTCAACCTTTTTTACTGTCCAGCTCTCATATCCATACATGACTACTAGAAAAACCATAGCTTTGGCTATATGGACCTTTGTAGGCAAAGTAATATCTCTGCTTTTTAATATGCTACTTGGTTTGTCATTGCTTTTCTTCCAAGGAGCAAGCGTCTTTTAATTCCATGGCTTCAGTCACCACCCACCATAATTTTGGAGCCGAAGAAAATAAAAGTACTGATGTCAGTACAATGTGCTACTGACAATCAGGATTTTCCAACAGATAAATGAAACAGAATACAGATTCCAGAAGGTAAACTCCAGGTCAACTGACTGACAAAGGCATCAATGCAATTAAATTGAAAGAGGTGTTTTCAACAGAAGGTCCTAGAATAAGATAGCTGTGTGTAAAAACTGAACTGTGATTCTCACCTCACCACACACATCATTAGTTCACAATGGGTCAGAAACCTAAATAAAAAGCTAACATACTAAATTCTAGAAGAAAACATAGTATCTTTACAACTTAGCAAAACAATCTGTGAAGACTTTAAAGCAGAATACATAAAAGATTCCTACAATTCAATAAAAACCCAATTAAAATACGGGCAAGGGGACTTCCCTGGTGGTCCAGCGGATCAGAGCCCAGCTTCCAATGCAGGGAACATGGGTTCAGTCCCTGGTCAGGGAACTATGATCACACATGCTGTGGGGCAGCTACTAAGCCCACAGGCCAGAACTACAGAGCCCATGTGCTCTGGAGCACGTCTTCCTCAGCCTAAAGTAAATAAACTCGGACAAAAATGACAGACAAATGGCTAACAAGCACGTGAAAAAAATGGTCAGTACCAATATTCATCACAAAATACAAAAGTAAAACAAGAAAGAGAAATACAAATTAATTCCACAAACTATAAAACGATTGTGCATATATGTATGTGCTCAATCACTCAGTCATGTCCAACTCTTTATGACCCCATGGATTGTAGCACACCAGGCTCCTCTGTCCATGGAATTTTCAGGAAAGAATACTGGAGTGGGTTGCCATTTCCTATACCCATTAGGAAGACTAAAATTTACAAGACTGAAAACAAGCAATTGTTGGTAAAAATATGAAACTATCCCAACTCTCACATATTGCTGGTGGTTAGGTAAAATGTTACAACAGCTCTAGCAGTTTCTCATAAAGTTAAGTATACACTTACCCTAGGACCCAGTAATTCTACTCCGAGATATTTACCCAAGAGAAATAAAAACCTACGTCTACAAAAGGCCTCACATAAGAATGGTCTCTTTTATTCATAACAGAGAATACATCTGTCAACAAGTGACGCACTGTGGTATATTCATACGACAGACCACTATTTAGCAATAAAAATAATGATACATCCAATAACCTGCAATAATCTCAAATACTATGTAAAAAAAGCCAGCAGAAAGAGTACGGTACTGTAGGATAACACATATATCCAGTTGTAGAGTAGGCAAAGTAATCTATAGTTTAAAAGAAAAAAGGAAAAGAACAGCAGATGCCTTGGCAGGGCAGGGGGCACGGGAGCAGCATGAGTGAGGAACATGGGCATCAAGTGGAAAGGTTCACTATGGACATTTCTGGGATGACACAAATGTCCAGTATCTTGAGTGAAGACTCTTACATGATGTAAACATTTATCAAAATAAGCAGTTTTGTGCATTATGTATATTTTATTTAAAACAACTATTTTTTAAAAATCTAGTAGGGAGGGGAGTAGACAGATAATATTGAAGTAAGAAATTGAAGAACTGCTGAACCTGAGTGACAGGCACATAGGGGTTCATTATACTATTTTTGTTTACCTTATATATACTTGAAACTTTCCATAATCAAAGGTATTTAAAAAATAACTTCTCTTAATTCCCTCAGTGGAGGAAGAAAACTAATAATCAACTGTTCTCAACATAAATTACAATCTTACTACTTATTTGACTTTTCTTTATGCTGAATAATCCATCCCTTACACTTTCTTTAATCTTATTCATCACAGCACAGCTCACCTTGAAATCTGTTCACATTTTCCATGATTGACTTATTTATTACTACCTATAGGGAGAAAAGGATTGGAAAGAGCTAACCCTCCTTTCGCCCATACTACCTGATAGCAATATGCCACCTACAATGAATACATTTCCTAACTTAAATCCCAATATTGAACTTAGCACCTAGAATTTTAATCTTATGCATTACCTCTCTCATGAGAATTCATTTGCAATGGCAAATAAGGACCTTATCCTATTGACTATTTCTTCAGATATGGCACATAGAGGATACCCAGTGAGTATGTGTAAATCAAATATTTAAGAAATATAATATCAGAGCTGACAAATAAACAGTTAAGCTTTTTTTTTGACAGTACAAATTATTTCCCACCTCAGTTATATCCATTGTGTTTTGCCTTTAACCTTATTGGTATGTATGTCTTCATTTCAAGTGGAATAGATCTGTATTTAAAAACTTCACATCTCTTTATTCAAAAATGCAATCATACAATATTTTAAATCAGTAAGTCAATTTAATCTATATATTTCACTGTATGAAGTACTGTGATTTCTATATATAGTATTATTTTTTCTGCTCTTACTCATATGGATAAAGAAAAAAGTCACAATGCTTTGAAAATCTCAAATTCTGTTTAACCACCATAAAGCTAAAAATCTCTGGCAAATATGAAAATTCAGAGCTTCTTAAAAACAGCTAAAGTGCAGTTAAGAATAGATTTTTAACAAAAACAAAGATTACTTGAAAAGAATTTGTCTAACAAAGCACCTATATAAGCCCAAGACCAAATTGTTAGTTCCCTCCCGTGAAATACAGGAAATCAAGGTTTGTTCTCAGAGTATGTGCTTCAGTAAATATTTGGAACATGGTTTATAAGCAAAACCATCATTATCTTGGATTAGGATTTTCAAACATTCTAAAGGAGAAAGCACAAGAAAAGTAATCATCAGGAGAAGCAGAAATAAAATCACTCACAAAGAACAACGTTATACATATAAAATTTTATTATTAAAAAACAGTTCACAAATATCTTACAAATATTAATTGCCACAGATTCAAATCCAAGTTCTTCCAGATGCCATTTTATATTAATAAATTATACATAACTTTTAGAACATTTACTTTAAATGTACCAAATGCAGCAAAAGACTTAAAAAAAGAAGTTTCAAAGCAAATACTCATTTAGAGACACCAGCACATAGATCTGACCTTTTCAAGTGGCTTTCCCAAAGAGTTTCCAATCAGTTTCCAATCATTCAAGACTTCTTCAACTTTGGAAATAAATCTAGGAAAGAGGAAAAAACTTTCAAACTACGTAATCACATTTTTTCCTATTGTTATACAATTTAAGTTTTATTTTCTTTTTTTAATATTTTAACATTTTTAACAGAAGGCTTGTAAAGTTTAGTATTGTTATTGTAAATTTATCAACGTGGAACAAAAAACAAAAAAGTAATCTTTAGCCCAAGAATTCTTAGATTTTAATTCTTTTTAGATTTTTTTTAAAGTCTTAGATGTTTTTTTCATTTTTTAAAAATCTACTGCCCACCCAACGCCATTCTGGTTTCTATAAAATATAAAATAAAAATAAATCTCTCCATATTGAAATGAAAATAGTAAACATGGACAAGTAAAAATTGACAGACTAAAATGATACTATTAAGGATAACTGGGCTTCCCAAGTGGTGCTACTGGTAAAGAACCTGCCTGTCAATGCAGGAGACATGAGAGACACAGGTTCAACAGCTGGGTCAGGAAGATCCCCTGGAAGAGGGCATGGCAACAGACTCCAGTATTCTTGCCTGCCATGGACAGAGGAGCCTGGTAGCCTACAGTCCATAGGATCACAGAGTCAGACACCACTGAAGCGACTCAGCACACACACACAGGCTTCCCAGGTGGCACTTGTGGTAAAGAACCCACCTTCCAATGCAGGAGACGTAAGAGACAAGGGTTCAATCCCTGAGCAAGGAAGATTCCCTGGAGTAGGAAATGGTAATCTACTCCAGTACTCTTGCCTGGAAAATTCCATGGACAGAGAAACCTGGCGGGCTACAGTCCATGGGGGTCACAAAAAGTCAGACACAACTGAGCACACACACATACACACATAAAGATAATTCTTAAACCAATAATCTCTTCACTATGCTCCAAATAACTTATTTCTTTTAACTAACTTTCTTTAAAAATCCTTATGAATTCTCTGATTTGCCTTCCACTCCTCCAAAAAACATTATTTGGGAACTTTGCCCATTAAAATAAAACAAGTTTTAATGGACACCTGGCAAGAAACAAAGTAGATTTGTCAGCTTTAAGGGATTTTAAACTATTCACTGTCTGTCCTTTAATGATCAAGCAGACCCATCAAAGAGAATGAATTCTGACTAGCAACACACTCTATATCAGCAAATGAACACTGTCAAATCTCAGTAGTAGTATTCACTATATATAAAAGGACACTTTCAGCTTAGTCGTTCAGTTGTGTCCAATTCTTTGTGACCCCCATGGACTGTAGCTCACCAGGCTCCTCTGTCCATGGAGATTTTTCAGGCAAGAATACTGGAGTGGGTTGCCATGCCCTCCTCCAGGGGATCTTCCCAACCTAGGGATCCAACTCAGGTCTCCTGCACTGCAGACAGGTTCTTTACCATCTAAGCGACCACAGAAGCCCAAGCCACCAAGCAGCTGACTACTTAAGACTATACATGTATGATGCAATCTAACAGCGGCACTGCTCTCCTGAAACATCTACATATTATTGCCAGAGTACTAAAATTAATTCTAGTCAAAACACATTCACAAGTATCGGGTTTTGCCATCAGGGACATTATAAACTATTATTTACATTCTTGATGTAAGTTTTTATGATTCAACTATACCTTCTAATTATTCCTCTTTAAAATGAAGATATTAACATAGTATTTTGAAGGGATTCAAATGGCAATTATCAGCTCTAATAAAGAGTGCTCTAGAAATAATATGTTTATAAAACAAAATAAAAATTTAAATGTATGTATATGTGAGTGAAAATCTGTACATGAAATATACATTATATTTATAAAGGTAAAAAACTGGAAACTATCTTAGGTCCAACTGCAGCAAAAAGTTGTAAATTAATGACATATCCACTCAATGGACTAATATGCACCCATTAAAAATCATGTTTGAAGCCCGCTTGAGGAAATAAGAAAAAGTCAATATGTTAAATGAAAGCATGAAGCTATAGATAAAAGTATGAATACAGTTTAACATAAGTTTATACCACACACAGATTACATGGAATCTTCTCAAAATATTAATAGTAACTATCTCCTGGTGGTAGAATTACAGGTGATTCTTTTTTTCTTTTATAATGAAGTACTTCAATAAATATCAGGGCTTCCCTGATAGCTCAGTTGGTAAAGTTCGATTCCTGGGTCAGGAACATCCCCTGGAGAAGGATAGGCTACCCACTCCAGTATTCTTGGGCTTCCCTTGTGGCTCAGCTGGTAAAGAATCCGCCTGCAATGCGGGAGACCTGGGTTTGATCCCTGGGTTGGGAAGATCCCCTGGAGAAGGGAAAGGCTACCCACTCCAGTATTCTGGCCTGGAGAATTCCATAGACTGCATAGCCCAGGGGTTGCAAAGAGTTGGACACAACTGTGTGACTTTCACTTCGCTTCATGTTAATAAAAGGGCTTCCCAGGTGGCACTAGTAGTAAAGAACCCCCTTGCCAAGGCAGGAGACTTAAGAGACTCGGGTTCCATCTCTTGGTTGGGAAGATCTGCTAGAGAAGCAAATGGCAACCCACTCCAGTATTCTTGCCTGGGGAATCATGTGGACAGAGGAGCCTGGAAGGCTACAGTCCATAGCATCACAAAGAGTCAGACTCTACTGAAGGGACTTCACATTTTAATTTCACAGTAAAAGAAGGAACATCTTAAAATATTCACTGTATTAGCAATACTATCAGTACTAAAACAGACCAAAATTGGAGCCTATTCTGTAAGTATTGAGATTTGATTAGAAAAATGTAATAACTACCCCTGAAAGCTTTCTAGATCTCACCTGAAGGATCACTTCCTCTTACTCCTCAATATTAGGTTCTTTTGTTATATGCTCTTAAAAACTGTTTCTTTCTCTTCTCAGCTCTCATTTCAACTGTAACTACAGACTCACTTGTATCATTATTTATTCACATCCTTCTTTTCCATTAGTTTATATGTTCAGCAATAGCAGGAACCATCTGTTTTCACTGACCACCACATCCTTATGCCCTGCATTGTGCTTGATACATGTTCACTCAATATTTTTTCAATGAACAAATACCAAAAGGAGTTATTGGTTTCTATAAATTGCCATATAGCCCATAACATACCGACAAGAAATTTCATTCAAACATTAAACTCAAGGTTTAAAAGACTTCAAAGTCTTACCATTTTCCTACAAACTGTAAAATGCTAGTTTCATTCTATAAATAAGAGCATAAGGCCAAAAATCAAATTTCCTACTTTGAGGTATTTTTCATAACTCTGTTAACAACTACCTCCAAATAAGGAGTTAGAAGGATTTAATATTTCACCTGAGGATATTTTAAATATTTAGCTAGTGGAAAGTGATCCTTTATCCATTAAATACTCTAATGTTTCCTCAATTCACTCTCAAAATTTAAACTACTACATTTTCTAACTACCTTTAAGACATTAAGTTATTATTTCAAATTCAACAGGTCTAAAACTATATTCTTCTCTCTTTGCCACTTTCTTATCTTCACTCTCCTAGGCAAGAAACTGCAGTTTCATGTGTTTTTTTTTTCCTCCTACATCTCATCAAGTTTATCTTCTACTTCTTTGAAATGTCTTACAATCTTCCCTCCTACCCTTTCTCTCCAGTTTCCTAATCACCAACCTAACCAAAATAGTAACTCACTTGCCTTCATTTCACCTCATCTTGGCAAACAGCTCTCATAATACCAAATCAAGGGTCTCTCGCTACTGCTCCGTAATGGCTCTAAAGCATGGTCTCTTGACCCAGCAGCAGCACCTGGGATTTTCATAGAAATGAACATTTTTGAATCCACCTCAGACATACAGAATTATAAACTAGGATTCTGATGCACACTAAAGTTTGAGAATCACTGGTCTTAAAGCATCAAATTTAGATTCCTTTACTTAGCTTTGGAGGTTGTCTATAACCTGGTTTTATCTTAATAATCTTATTTTCCTTCAACAGTCTTCACTCCAGTAAAGACATTTCATTAAATCCCAAAGGTTTTCACCTGTCTCTGCTCCTGTCGGGACCCTCTCATATTTAACCAGCTTTTTTCCATTTAACCAGTTATTTTCCACTTTCCAGGCCTGGCATATTTCCTGTCTTTTCTATAAAAATACCTCCAACAATTAAAATCCATAATTACCATCCTTATACTAACATAACTACTTGCTATTTTGTTTTTTTAACACAGAGATCAAAGGATTTGTTTTGATCTTGTTCTTTTCTGTTAGTGTAGTTCTGAACACATAGTACCTACTCAATAAAGCCTTGCCTGGATGGTCATGTCTTACCTTTTTCGGGGGAGGTGGGAGTGGGGCGGGGACCACAGGTCAAACTAGCAACCCAGCAGGGAGCTTTTCTATGCCATTTAATGACATGACATTCACAACCAGATAGATTTCCTCTCCCAATCAGAAAGATCATAAAATATTCCAACAAGCTAACTACTGACCTCAGTACTCAAAAAACCTGAATTAAGGGCCTCTTGGACAACGTACTGACAACATCTCGACCTAAGCTATCACTCCTCCACAAACTTGGCATTCAGCTAATTTCAGTGATCCAACAATTTCACTCAGCTGTTCAACTGGAGTTTGATGATACAGGAATTTGGAGTTTCGATGGCAAAGGAAGCCTGGGTCACATTACCCACTGAAATGGAACAATTAAGCGTTCCAAAGTCACACACAAACTGTTTCGAAAGGTTACCCTAAAAGACAGGATGGAGACAGTGGAAGTGTGGCAGATGGAAAACCACCAGGATTCAGAAGAAAGGCCTCCTCTTGAAACGGATGTACAAGGAAAGGGGCGGGGGGGGGGGGGGCCAGCAGCTGCGAAGTTTGTTGCTTACTATAACAAACGAATTAGTTACACGGAAATTAACACAGGAACGGAAGGTAGCCTCCGGAACTGTTTCGGCGGGTGGTCAACAACTAGAGGACCAAAAGTCTAATGAAAGTGATCTAAAAGGAAAGAAAACTAAACTTCGGAGAGCCAGAGTCTCCGGGGTTTGACAGATGGGGGCGGGCCGGGGCTTGTCAGACCCGAGACGTGGAAGAGGCTTGCGGTGGACCACAGAAGGGAGGAAGCGAAGACCGGGGAGCCAAGGGGCTTACTTTTCCCGCAGAAGTGGCGTCACTTGTGGTCAAGGTTGGGGAAGTAGACGGGCGGACCCGGGGCCCAAACTGCTGGTAACCAATGATACGACTCACTCACCTTTCCCATTCCGAGGCAGTGGTGAAGTCCGTGATCTCAAATACCTCGGACTCGGGCTGCGTAAGTTGAAAGAAAGAAAGAGATTGAGCTCCCGGGCGCTGACACGGAAGGGCTAACTTAAACAGAGACAGGGATAGGCAGGGGGCAGACACCTCACCTCACTGTCAGCCGCCATCTTGGGGAGCGCCGAGGTGGGCGCTAGGACTGCCGGGAAGAAAAGCAGGAAGGAGAGGGGAGGGGGGGAATGGGGGAGCCGAGAACGGGCGGGGGCGGGGTGAGGCGGAGCCTCACGCAGCCCCGCCCTCGGAGGCACCTCTTCCGGTTAGTTTGGCGAAGTCTCCTGAGGCTGAAGTCATTTAATTTTTCTTCTGTAATAATACATTTTGTTCCTGAGAAGAAAGAACTTACACTACCCTCAAGTCCCCGTTCTCTAGCTGATTTAACAAAATTTAAAAGTCTCCTGTAGAATAATGAATTCAGGAAAGGAGCAGAAGCAAGAACAAGGCCCTAGACTCATATGGGTATGACTCTATGAAAAAAACATAAAACATACTGGTTTTGTTCTTGTTTTTTCATTCATCCTCTCAATCAGTTGCAAGGCACTGAGCTAGATGCTGTAATATCCACCATCCCTCACCTCTTACCCCTCAAAGAATTCAGGCAGTTTGGGTAAGTCATCAAAACCATTATACCAGTTATCAGGTATCTGAGAAGAGCAAAATGCTGTTTAATGAACACTTTTTAAGCCATGAAGAATAGGAGTGCCAGCTACCTGTTAGTCACTATATCTCGTACATTTTGAAACTTTTACAGAGGAAATCATACCATGTCCAGGATTTGTTTCAAATAATTAGAGGAGGAGGAGGGTTGTTGTTTTTTAGTTGCTACTCTTTGGGACTCCATGGACTATAGACCTTCAGGCTCCTCTGTCCATGGGATTTCCCAGGCAAGAATAAGTGGAGTGTCTTACCATTTCCTTCTCCAGGGGATCTTCACAACCAGATCGAACCTGCATCTCCTGCGCTGGTAGGCAGATTCCTTACCGCTGAGCCACTAGAGAAGCCCTAGGGAAGTGGATATGGCTAGAAATAAAACAAGATTAGCCATGGGCACATAAGCTATTGTTTAAGCTATTGATGGGTACATGGATATGTATACTTTTCTCTCAACTTTTATTAGGTCTGAAATTTTTCATAATTAAAAGCTTTTTTTCCTTAAATTCTCCTGTTATTTATTTTTCTTTTTGGCCACACCATGGGGCATGAGGGATCTTAGTTCCCAACCAGGGATGGAACCATGCCCCCTGAAGTGGAAGCACAGAATCTTAACCACTGGAAATCCAGGGAAGTCCCTAAAAGCTTTTTTTTTTAAGTTTTTTTTTTTTAATTAAATCTCATTTAAAGGTTTTTTGCACCTCACAAGAAGGAATTTGTGGCTAGAGGACTCAGAAATACAGCTTTAGCAATTAAATATTTTAAGCTTAGGAGAGAGCAATATAAAAAATACAGTGATGTACATGGTGCAGATGAGGAAACTAAGGTCAGAAGAATTTGATACTTATTGCCAGTGCCAAGACTTGAACCCCCATCTCTTGATATTCCTTCTAGTTTCAGTTCACTACACTAGTGGGAGTTGTAGTTACTATATTTCCCAAGAGGTCTGAACTTGCACCTTCATTCATACATAAGCATTTATTATACACCTACTATAAGCCAGTCATTATGCTAGACTGCTAGGAAATGAAGACATACTGAAGATACAATCCTTGATTTCAAGGAACTCAAGATGGAGTAGGGAAACTGAAAATTTACTGCACGAACAAAAAGAAAAGTTACCATATGTATCAGCATCACCGTTAGCAATGTGGAGGCCAATGGTGACCATGACAAGAAGAATCTTCAGGGCCAGCTGAAGGGTAGAATGGAGGCAGCCAGGTTGGGGGCAGGGAAGTCTTCTAAGGACAGAGAATAGCATATCCAGAGGCTTAAAGGTAGGAAAGTCTGATCTGTCTAACAAACTAAGAGAAGACACCTACAGCACAGTGGTTGCAATGAGGTTGAAGAGGTAGACATGGGCCAGACCTTAAAGAGCCTTCTATATGGCCCTTATGTGAAGCAAAGTAGGCATTGCTGAAATGTTTTAAGCAAGAGAGTATTGTGGTCCAAAATACAAAATCCTTTACATTTTTCAGTGGTCTGGTTGCTATAGGGATGGATTGGGGGAGGTGGGTTGCAAAAGCAGAAGTAGGAATAGCTAGTGACTATTACAGCATCCAATGGGAGATTGTGTGGAGGCTTTGACTGCCAGGGGTCAGCAGACAAGGTCAACTGATTTGATATGTATATTGTAGTTAACAATAGTCAGAGCTTGATGACATTAAATGCAGGGATAAGGGAAAGTTGCTTCCCAGTGGTAAAGAATCTGCCTGCCAATGCAGGAGACACAAGGGATGCTGGTTCAATGTCTGGTTGGGAAGATTCCCTGGAGAAGGAAATGGCACTCTAATGGCAGAAAATGAAGAGGACGAAAGAGCCTCTTGATGAAGGTCAAAAAAGAGAGCGAAAAAGCTGGTTTAAAACTCAATATTCAAAAAACTAAGATCATGGCATCTTGTCCCATCACTTCATTGCAAACAAAAGGGGGAAAAGTGGAAACAGTGGCAGACTTTATTTTCTTGGGCTCCAAAATCACTGCAGATGGTGACTACAGCTGTGAAATTAAAAGACACTTGCTCCTTGAAAGGAAAGCTATAACAAGCCTAGACAGTGTATTAGAAAGCAGAGACATCACTTTATTGACAAAGGTCTGTGTAATCAAAGCTGATTTTTCCAGTAGTCATGTATGGATGTGAGAGTTGGACCGTAAAGAAGGCTGGGCACCAAAGAACTGATGCTTTTGAATTATAGTGCTGGAGACGACTCTTGAGAGTCCCTTGGACTGCAAGGAGATCCAACCAGTCAATCCTATAGGAAATCAACACTGAATATTCATTGAAAGGACTGGTACTGCAGCTGAAGTTCCAATACTTTGGCTACCTGATGCTAAGAGCCAACACATTGGAAGAGACCCTGATGCTGGGAAAGACTGAAGGCAGCAGAGGATTGGGGGCAGCAGAGGATGAGATGGTTAGATAGCAACACTGACTCAGTGGACATGAATTTGAGCAAACTCCAGGAGACAGTGGAGGACAGGGGAGCCGGACATGCAGCAGGTCAGAGGACTGCAGAAAGTTGGGCACGACTGAGCGACTGAACAACACCAAATAAGGGAAAGATGGGAATCAAAGAGCCATTCACTTAACTTTCTAAGATTCTCTCAAGCTGAAATATATTTGTATGTTTTAAGGTCAAGCAAACCCAGGTTCAGCCACTTACTACCTATAAGACTGGGCAAATAACATAAGCCCTCTAAACATCAGTTTCTTCATTGTTAAAATTTGATTTGTAATACCTCTTACCACATAGAACTGTGGCAAAGATCAAGTTCTATGCACATTTGCAGAGTGGTTTACCAGAATGTCCTGGCATGTAGTAGGTGATCCATTATGGTAGTAGCTATTATAATGGACGCTTTATATAATGAAAACTGTAACGTGTTACTCACATGTGAGTATTACTTTTTTTCCTTTTTGGTTAACCATTAAGAAGTTTCAGTGCATGCCAAAATCTGAAACTGAAAAACCACAAAGACTTTGCTGCATGAAGTTAAATTTCAGAAACTGTAGGAAACAAGCCTTATCAGGTTGCTAGGTAAAGTTTCCTTCCAAGTTATTTTTGGCTTCTTCTCCCTGGAGAAGCTTTTTAAATAAGTTATTTGTTAAAGTGAAGTGTGAAGCCAGGATGCTAATGATGTAAAGTACCCAGGGGAGACACACTTTTATTAGATTTTCACTGGTTCGTGAAGCAGAAAAGATTTTGTTTCTTCAGTATTAAGAGCTATTTTGCTGCACGTCCAAAGGCAAGGGTTTTTCCATGCAAGTGTATTCCCTCTCTGGCATACCTTGCAGTTATTTCAAGGTGTTACCAATAATGGCCACAGGGAGAATTTTGACGCATAAGCAATTTAAGAGATTAGAGGCCTGGAAAAATCACCCTTGGCTTGTCCTCAGAGGAATGCAGGGGCGTCACAGTTTAATTAGGTCTTAGCGAGGGAGAAAACATTGTGAGAGGAGCAACAGCAATGGGACTGCACCATTCTCATCTGCCTTGATGGCCTCTGTGCAGAGAGAATCAGGAATTGTCTGTGATATAGCTCTGAGACCAATTGCAGTAGAAGGTACAGGAAGAGGAAGACACTATGAGAATAGGAAACTCTTATAAATTCTCTAAATCAAAACTATCAGAATTATCAAAATTATCAGTATTCATTCATTCAGCAAAATTTATCAAGTATCTACTGTCATGGTAGTGAAGTGGAAAAAAGTGAAAGTGTTAGTCGCTCAGTTGTGTCCAACTCTTTGCAACCCCATGGACTGTGGCCCACAAGGCTCCTCTGTCTGTTGGATTTTCCAGGCAAGAATACTGGAGTGGATTGCCATTCCCTTCTCCAGGGGATCCTCCCAATCCAGGGATCAAACCCTTGTCTCCTGCGTTGCAGATGGACTCTTTACTGCTGAAACCACCAGGGAAGCATGCCATATCATAGTCAATTGTAGGGAGGGGTGCGAAGAATAGTTCCTGCCCTCAGGGTGTCCACAGCTTGAGATAAGACAGAAAGAACTATAATATGATTTATAAAGGGAAGCACAATGGTTATTCATCTTCTTAAAGCTCTTTGTAAAATCAGTGGTGGAAAAATAATTGAGTAACCTTCCTTTTGGGAAATAGATGGGGAAACAGTGGAAGCAGTGTCAGACTTTATTTTTTTGGGCTCCAAAATCACTGCAGATGGTGATTGCAGCCATGAAATTAAAAGACGTTTACTCCTTGAAAGGAAAGTGATGACCAACCTAGATAGCATATTAAAAAGTAGAGACATCACTTTGCCAACAAAGGTCTGTCTAGTCTAGGCTATGGTTTTTCCAGTGGTCATGTATGGATGTGAGAGTTGGACTGTGAAGAAAGCTGAGCGCCAAAGAATTGATGCTTTTGAACTGTGGTGTTGGAGAAGACTCTTGAGAGTCCCTTGGATTGCAAGGAGATCCCACCAGTCCATCCTAAAGGAGATCAGTCCTGG